GCTGCCTCGGGGGGGAGGATTGCTTGGTGGCTCAGGTTATGGTAATCCAATTAACTGAATGAACACATGAAAAGGAAAGTCTTTTGATTAAAAGCCAGTGAAGTCTCTGGGATGGATTGGATTTTCACTTCTTGGTCTAGTTCATCTCCAGCCTGCTAATTATGGATAGAGTTTTTGGTAAATTGATCTCTTATTTAGACCCCTTTTTTAACATATATATGCCTTTAAATTATCTATTAGATTTTTCAGCTTCTGGGTATTTGTTTTCTTCTTAACCCATATCATGCTTGATAGATCTTTTGTCATTTGCCTGGAAGGATCATCAACATCATATTCCCAGAAAGAAGCTACATTTTCACCTGTCGTTAGGATGATATCATGTGTTGTACCAAATCACAAGATATAGAAAAATAAATGTGAATCATCATCCTGTGTTAGAGAGAGATTATTCTATGATAATTTCTTGAAAGTCTTTAATTTATCTTATGGTAATTAGAAACTCCTTTGTTAAGTCTTTAGTTTATCTTAAAGTTGTTGCCTTTCCTTCAAATCAAACAACTAGCTCTTGGTGTTAAGTGTTTACTATTTCCCTTTTGTAATTCCCTTTGTTCAATTTGATTCTTGTTTGACAAAGGTGAAATCTACAGTGTAAAGTGATATTTTCATCATATGATAAGACATTTTGGTAAGGACCTTGTTGCCTTTTCCTTGTGATGGCGTATTGTCTTGCTTGTAAAAAACACTATTTTAACTCGTGTTGGACAAAGTGGTTTATTTCTTAAGATATTTCCCTATATGTAAGGTTCTTGAATGTGCTGTATTTCCCCTCATCTGTATTATTCCTTGCCATTAAATTTTCGTGGTTGGGATCTAACATAACCTTTGCCTGAGTAATCAGTCACTGCTGTGGTTTGTTTGGTTCATCAAGAACCAGAAGTAAATGCAGATTTCATCATTATAGTGTTGCTTTAGACTTTAGCATGGAAGGTAGCTGTTGGGTCACTGTCATTTATTGTTTAAGAAGAAATAGGATATATATATATATTACATGAATGTCCTTGTCGGCCCACTTTACTGCTATGATATTTTGACAAGCTTGCGATTGCATGCATTCATGAAAAAACGTTTGTTATCATGTACTTTCTTCTCATAAGTCAGTCTAAAAAATGTTTCTCTATCATAATTTCGGTGTTAAAGACCGGTAAAGATCAGACCTTTATTTTATTCTACATTTCAGTCTATGATGGTAAATTGCATCATGAATGGATAAGATTATTCACTCAGCACGTCTCTACATATCTTTCTTCTATTCTTAGCAGAGCTATTTTAAAATATTTTGTTGAATTTAGGTATGTAGAGACTCGGGTTTGAGAAACGGAGACTGTAGTTTTTTTGTACTTTTTCCATAGTGAATCGTGAGTATGAACTGCACAATTTTTTTTTTCTGTATTTTGTACTTTATGGCTCTTAATTTTCTTGATAATTTAGCACCTTAGGCACTATTACGCCTTAGTTCTGTACCCATTTGTCCCTTGTCTGATTTATAATCGACTTGCTAAACAATGTTGTTTGCATTATTCTTATTGGATGCCATTTACTCATGTTTCCCCAATTTTATATTTTGCAAGTAATTGAGAACTATTCAACGTACATGATATCTGGACAATATTGTATCTGTTTGTGGGTCTTGTGCTGTTGTCGTCTTCTTGTTTGTGTCTTTTTAGCTTACAAGGATAATTGCTGTCGGGGATTCTTGTTTGGCGTCTAATGATCGTTTTCTTGGTTATAACTGGCAGATTTAAAAGACTTACCCTCCTGGGATATGATAATCTTGCGTGCGAATGTTGACAAATGTGAATATAATATGGTGATGCAAGTTTTTAATGATTTGGTGCTTTTCCTTTCGGCCCTGTGACTGCTTATTGTCCCTTTAAGATATCTGTTTGTATATTATATGAATTCATAGATTTATCATGTGGATTGCATCATCTTACAATGTTTTCTATATTACTTGTATGGTGGCTACCTTTTTCGGGATGCTGCACCCATATTTGTGAACAAGGACTGTCCCATTTCTAGTGGTTTTTTATGTTTCTTTAGTTTATTAGACATCTCTTATCTATTATACATCATAATCACAGCCATACCTTTTTCTTTTATTTTAATTTTCTAAATCAATTCTTCAAATATAGAATTTTCTTTGTCTTGTTGGTATTTTCTGTGTGACCGGGTATTGACTTGTCATGCATGATTGATAGGGTGCTTGAGAAAAAGGATTTAATTGGTGTTTCTGGGTCTGCAAACTTACTTTTCGTTCCCTTTTTCCTTTACTTTCCCCCTCACTTTCAACTAACATTTCATGTTTATCTTATTAGGTTTGAATAGATTAAAATTTTCTCCATTTTCCATTAAGGTAGATGGAGGCTAAGACAGGAAATTTAGACGCTTTTTGCATTTTTTTAACTATATGGTTGGCTTATTTAGTGTTTAATATTTTCAGTTTAATGCTCATTATATCAACTGGCTTGATACCTTATACTGAGGTCCATGTTTTTCTCCTTACTTGTTATGATTATATTAGATAGAAATTTAATCTGTGCATGAGTTTGATTTTTTTCTTTCATTCATTTGTTCATAGCCTCACATTTTTCATCCTTTGTATGCCTCCTAGCTGTGGTACCAGAACTATTTGAGGGATCTTTGTGTTTGATAAAAGATTTTCGGGAGATCTTTTCTAGGCGCATTTCTTGAAGTATAGATGTGTTCATTATATCTCATTTTTGATGAACAATATATGATGCCTTTACACAATTGATATGTGGTATTACTACACCATTGGATTCACTTATAGTGTTTAGTAATTTACAAGATCTTAATTGAAGGTCCCAGATCACCAGAAGCTGTTGGATGTCCCAATGCATTTTATGTTATACATCGGTTTTAAGTGAAGGTACTTCAGAATTTTCTCTTTTAACTAGTTAGTACTTTAGATATTGAAAGAGAACTTGCCGAAAGGTGGTTAGTTAAATTGGCTAAATCCAATTATAGAGTATTTTAAGGACTTCGATGGCATTATGTAATTGTTGCACGATTTAGTCTTTGAGACTTAAGACTTGTTAGAGGAATTCAATGCAAAATATAATCTCTCATCTTAAAGAAATTATTTCGTATGGGATACTACTTAGCCTACACTCTTCTAAACTAAAATCTTGTTGTTTTCACGTTTTTAAGATCGTCCGAGATTCGCCCTTGTTGGATTCAGACTTCTTGTTGCTTGTTTATTGGATTCAGGTATAGAATTCTACAGTCTTGAAAAAGGTATGCATGACCAGAATCATCTTACATCTGTGTTTTTGTGGAGTTTGTAATTGTGCATACACGTTTATGTTTGTATAGTGGAATACGACGGTGCATTGTTGAAAGGAACAGGGCTGATTAGAATATATTGACCTGTCTATGTCTCTTTGCTTTTAGACATTGACGAGGGAACCATCTTAAAAGTACCATGCTATGCTTATGATGGTTTATGAAGATCAGATATACCTCTACATACATATATGCATGGCATATTTGCACGTACATATATATAATAGTATGTTTATATTGGTAGTCTTCGTTTGGAGATAGGCAAAAAGCATGTCTTCATCTGTGTTTGCTGTAGCTACTGTTGACTGAAAATTCTTCCAAAGTTTGTGGCAGAATGCTGCATGACTTTTTCATTGATAATGTGTGCGTATATATTCACATCAATGCAAGATACACATATAGATATATATGCATGTTGCCATCCTTCTTGATCTGGATGTTTTAAAGCAATTATACATGTCTTAGTTTCTCCCATAGGTACTGTTTGTGATGAAGTTTATGGGAAAATATTGCATGATGATATGATGTAGGGCATTTCATGTGATTTGAAATTGGTGGGTGCTAAATATGGTGTGATGTGGAGTCCACAGGTTGGTTGGAAATCTGATTGAATTCATTATATCCCTGACTTATAGCTCTCTATATATACGTAATATTCATATTACATATATTTGTATATATACCTATGCTTTTGTTGGGATATCATGTCATCAAAGAACAAATAAATTGGACGCATGCATGCATATTTTAGGGTTTTAATGGTGTGTGTTTGTGTTGTATGCTGCTGCTATACTTTGGCACGGATGTATAGAAATATATGTGCATGTATATATGTTGTTTGGGTTGTCAGTTTGAGTGTTGTGGTGGGGTAAAAGCACATATATGATGGAAAATTTTGTGATTTTTTCCATAATTATTTTGACAAATGCTCACGGTATCAGTGGCTAACTATATATATATATATATATTTTTCACAAGTTAGTAGTGTAATGAGATACGTAGATATGTATGTATATATATATATGCATGACCACATATATGTATTGTGGATTAGAATCGAGATAACTGTTGGGTTGAAGTCTGCTGGTTGTGTGTTTGATGTTATCGTATGTGTAATTTCCATTACAGATACATATATGTGTGTATGTATATCAATTAGAGAAGTCATTTACAGAGACGTGCGTATGCATATATCCGGAAATATCTATGGGGGTGTGCTGAGAATGAATTTCAGTGAAAGCAGATTGGCTCTAATTTTTATTTCTATACTTCAATTATAATTTCGAAGTACGCGATAAAGGTTTATATATATTCTTTCTAGTTAATTCGTCTCTGCCCTTAGAAAATATGATGTATAGAAATTATATTTTAATCTTTTTACAGGAAAAACATAGCACCGTTGGTATATATATATATATATATATGTATCTATGCATTTAAAATATTGATTATTTAGCCAAAAATAATGATTGATATATTAAAATAACACTTACATATATATATATATATATATATAAAGGTTTTCTTATAGGATGCTACGATGCCGGCATAATTAAGAAGGTAACCATTTATTCTAAAGTGGTATGGCATGTGAAATAAGAATAAACATATATGTATATATATATATATGTGTGTGTGTGTGCACTTACATTTAATATTTCATGATGGTGTATAAAGGAATCTCTTCTCTTAATTATATAATGTATGTTTTATGTACCCAAAAAAATTAGTGGGTTCACGTGGAACCTTCAATTTAATTTTCTTTCTCCAACTATTCAAAATAACCCAAAGAGGGAGATACATGAAAAATGATGTGTTGAAAATTACTTGCACCCATCCTTTCGAGTTTACTTTTTAAAGTAACATTTAGATTTTGTGAAATAATAGTGATTGGATTAAGTAATGTTTAATTCAATAAATACAAAAATTTAATTTATTAGTGTATCTAAAAAATATTTTAAAATGATTATATTATTTTAAGTGGGTAACCATAAAAAGTTAAAATTTTAATGTAATTTTTTAATTTTTTTTTTTTTTTTCAAAGAAACAAGAAAATATCATCTTCATTATTACTTCCAATTATTGCTACAGAAAAGCTATAAAAAGAAAGTTGTATGGTAAAGAACAGAATCTAATTGCCTTTTAGTCGGCTCGTGCCGGGCATAGGCAAAGGTGACTCTTCATAACAGGATAAGACACTTCTCAATACAAATGAAAAGATTCTGTTTCCTCGAGGGTTTTTGTTTCTTAAATCTATTTGAATATTTATATCATAAAGTTTATATAACTATTTACTTTAAAAAAAATTGTTTTATATTTGATTATATCATGAAATGTATTCTAATATGCATGTGTTAGAAAATGATTTCCTATAAAATATTAAGAACAATATTTTTTTTAATTTCAATTTTCATTTCTAAAATGAGCTCTTTCAAATATGAAAATAAAATAAAAACTTATTAAACAAATTTTTTGAGGACTTAAAAAAAGCTTCATTCCACCAATCTTCAGCGTGCATAATTTTTAAGGTGAGACTTGAATTCTCAATATCAAGAAATTCATAGAATGGTAATAACTCATATGCTACAGGTTATATTACCATTATGCAATTAGATCTTAGTTGAGAATCTGAATCATAATTTTCAAGATGAAAGTTGAATTCCCGATATCAAAGAGTTTTAAGTGAGAGCGCAAACAACTTAAATACCTTAAATTATATTCAAATTATGCATAACGAAATCGATCTAAGAATTTTTTTAAACTAAAAATTGAATCAAATGCAACCTTGTAACTGACAAAAAAAACCAATAGATCATTTGAAGCTAATCAAAATTTCTCCACTATATATATATATATATATATATATATATTAAAAGATATCATGCACTGTAAAAGCAACCAAAAGAATATATCCGGCAATCTTACAAATATATATGAGAAAATGGATACATGCTTAAAAAAACGACCTTCTTTCATCAAAAAAGACAAAAAGACAACCTTCATTTGAGCTTATCATTATCAGGAAACTGCTACACCACTAAGCTCCACTTCTGCTACTGCTGCATTCATTGCATCAATTATGTCCATCCTTCCTCTGCTGACAGCTTCATCAATCGGAGTTCGATCATGGCTGAACCAACCACAGGAGTGGAATTGGTTATTTAGGACGAAAGAAAAAAGAGAATTTACGACCACGATCCCAGATTAGGAAAAATATTGCAACAGAAGTTTTTGGTTGGCAATAGCAAACCTGTTCAACATGCTTACATTTGCTCCTGCCAGAATCAATCTCTTAACCACCTGCAAAGCCCACCACCATATATCTCTTAAGTTGTTTAAAAATGATAATAACAATGATGATGGTGTTAATGTGTACTATGGTTATACCTCAATATGACCATTTAAGCAAGCCCAGTGAAGAGGTGTATTCTTCTCCTCATTAGCAGCATTTATATCCTGCAAAGATAAAAGCTCCACAAACTGAAAAAGTTTCCTCGTAGAAATCATGTAACTAATAATCAGGGATGCAGACTGTGTGAGTATTAAACAAAAGTGTTGACTTCAATCCCGTTTTTAGAAATATAGAAAAAAAGATAAAGAAAAAATAGTTCAAGATTTGATGCGGAGTTGTATAGAACTGTATATAATAACTAAACAAGGGCAGTTGTGGACGCCAACCATAGGCTTTCCAGGACTAAAAGTGGTGGGAAAGGATAAAATTTTCTGTCAAATGGCCTTCACAAAATTTTATCTTCCATTCTTTTTCCAGCATTCACTATTAATCATGGAATCTCGGAGAAGTTTAACCAAAAAACACAATGATATTTCTTCCACTAGTATTACGAAGCTACCAAGGAAACCAGATTGAACACCTCAAATTGGGGTTGATGCTCTCCTATCACGGGAGTAATCATGTCTCAGGAACCTGTCCTGATTTGTGAAGAAATAAAGGAAATAATTGCAGCAATAGGAAAAGATGGGATCAGAACTAGAATTTAGGAAGAAGAAAGAATAAGGAAGATGGAAAGAGAAGAGGTACATTGCTGTTTCAATGGGATTTTCAATATTACAATGCTTACTTCCTCAATTGGATTCACACCCTTTCCTACTCAATTCCACCGAAATTTGGCAACAACTTGCTAACAATGTTGATAGAAAAACAGAAAGGAAAACACAAAGATATTTCATGAAATAAGGAAATAAGAAAATTTAGAAAAATTAGAAATTAATAAATCCTTATTACAACTGTTACCCATGACTTAATTAAGTCAATCAACTCAGTCTAGCACAAGACACCGGATCATCAATGTATACATTCATATATAATTTCAACTTGAACAATCCAAGTCCAAGCGGGTCAGATGCACTTTGCAGGTCTCAAATCACAGTTATCTAGAAGATTCCTTTCTTGAAAATTTGGATACCACTAACAACCTATATCACTAAAGAACAAAAAAAGATGAGAAAAGGCAGTACAGTTCTGCCGTGTGGTTGATTGCTCAAGATAAGCTCACTAATTCACGAGGTTTGCTTGAGCTTTGCTCGCAAGATGATTTTGGAGCCTATGCTACAAAGTTTTGTTTTTTTTTTTTAAATTTGCTCTTGGGACCAGGCCACGACCAATTTTTATTGAATAATAAAATAGCCAGAAGTGCCATAATTAAAATTCACTATTGTTCATTTAAAACGAAAGAATATTATTTGGCAGGAGAAACGCAATTGGGCAATTAAAGCACTTGCAGATGAGTATAGAGAAGGATGATTTGTTCAAGGGATTGACTTTACTAACTGAAGACTTAATAAAGATCTATGAACCCAATTGACTGCTATAACAACAAAAAGAATCACGAGACCATCACAACAAGGAGCAACTATTACCATGAAATTCAAAGCACAGGGAGGACTTTAGCAACCGAGAGTGCCAGGCAATGGTTAGGACTTCTGTCATGGGTCAGTATCAATGGGTGTTAGGAGAGGAACATGAGACTGTTTGGTGATTCATACAGTGATCTAATTTGCGACAAATGAGAGAATATGTTGGTTTAGGTGTGTGGCTGTTGATGACTGAGGTCCCTCAGAATATCCACTCCTGGATGTCTGGTAATCCTAAAAGTGCCAATATACCTAGATAAGAGAAAGCGAGTACCCGGGAGGATAACAAGCTGACCATAATTTGAATTTTATTCTCATAGTGAATAAGAAATTTGTAAAATAGAGAAAGGATGTTTAATTATATTTCGAGATTCTGAAAGAAGGAAAATTTTATCCAAGTACACTGGAAATATGCTAGAAAGTTCTTTAAATGGGGTAAGGGAATTAATTCATTAGGCTGAACATACCTATAATAAAGAAATATATGCTAAATGTTCCCAAATGAACTACAGTAATATCACTACAGTATACTTCAAAATGGAATGGAAGGGTCAGTCTCGCATGGTATTAGAATTGATTCTACGATAGTTACTTACTGAGCACCCGAAATTCCTCCATTGAAAGAATGGCCGGGTATTATGCTATTAGCTATACACCCTACTAAAAGTTGCACGAAAAATTTCAAAGATAAACTACAAAAATATCAGTCGCCTAATTGTCAAAAATGGGCCTGGGCCATAGGATCTTACTCCACCTCACCAGTTAACTTATCAAGTAAGACTTCCTTTATTGAAATAGTGGGCTGCCACAGAAAGAGAATCAAGGCTGCAAAATAGAATCCAGTGTTGGGATCGAGACATGGCAAGGAAGCTCTCCATCAATTGGCTACCTTATAAGAACTATTCTCCACAGTACAATACTTGAAGCAGACGCAACAAACTGAATCTGGTGGACTGAGAATGTAAAAGAACATGCAGGCAAGTTTCAGATATTGAACAGATCAGTGCATTAGCAATCACGCATCAATTAATTGAAGACTCCATATACTCAAATGTTTGCAGCATTTAAAAAAAAAAGCAATTCAAGTGGTTTTCTCACCACTGATTTACTGATGAGGTACTCCACAATGGTAAGGTGTCCATTAGCTGCAGCCATGTGAAGTGCTGCATTAAAAATATTGTCCAACAGAATGTTTTCAGTAACTACAGGCAGAAGTGACAATTATATGATGAAGCTTCATTTGAATTTCATAAACATTAAAGTTTAAACTTGAGGGCCCTGAATTACAGTTCCAAAAAACATGGAATTATATCAATTTCTAGCAATAATCATTTAATTGTCTTCTCAAATCACGCACGCAACTGAAAATAAAAAAATCAAAATGGAGCTGCTAATCTAGAAGGAGTTGCTAGAATGAGTTAGCTCATTAGCATGTTATTGCAATTGGTTGCACACCATTTGAAATATTTAATGGCTTTGAATTTTCAGTTCGATTTGGAAAACAAAGGATTGAAACCATGAGGCTCATAAGGAAGCTATTTTTAATTAAATTAGGATAAGATCATAAATCTCAGTTTTAAGTGTTAATTCCAAACTATTTGGGAGTGTCATAACCATGGGTAAGCACAGAGAATAATGCAATGAGAACCCGTAAGATAGCAAGCTGTCAGGGAAAGCTAACTTTCGATCATGGGTTCATGATCACCAACTGAAAAATAGATATAATAATTGGCGATGCCATAAACACTACCAATAACCTGTTCGGCCTTCTGAATCTTTAGAATCGAGAGAGACACCGGCAGAGGCTAAGCTTATGACATCATCAAGGTCATTATATCTAGCAGCCTGTCGAGCATATGAGGCAAGAACCAAATGAATACCAAATAAGTACTCAGGGAATACAACTCTTACCGAAAAAGGATATATTAATTTACAATCTAGAAATTAATAAGTCAATAAAAGATAAAACTAACATCTATAGTTCCTAGCGATGAGGAAAAACAAGAAATTTAATAGGGATGATGATCTAACGTTAGCAATGAGAATATTAAAACTTTTAATTATTAAATATAAATCAAATACTTGCATAGAAACCTCAGTAGTTATTCAACTCTTTATCATTTATTTTACTTCCTGATTTTCTTGGGAATAAGGCCCCTTACCGAGAAGGAAACTGATCAAGGCTGCAAACAACTGAAGAAAGAAAATATATAATAAACCTCTGAGACTAATTAGCAGGGAACTAAGAAACCAAAACGACTTTGGTGGAACATATGAGAGTTAGAGTTACATTTATGGCTACTTATGCGAACCAAGCAGGAACAAAACTGAAGAAAATATAAAACCTAAGTAGTGCATATTATGAATTCAGAGCTCAAATTTGTACTCCTACAGCCACTTAATTGCGTTAAGAATGAATAAATGAAATAATCTGTAGAAAAAAAACACCGAGCATAACAAAAACCAGGTCGGGTGTAATTAGAGAAAATGTTCGGAGAGGAAACGAAGCGAGAAGAAGAAAGGGGTGACAAAACAAGGAGCTCATACCTCAAGCAAGGCCTCGACGTCCTCCGGCGTCGTCTCGGCTAGGGTTTGCTCCGTCGTGTTGGCTTCCACAGTCATCAGTTACAGACTTGCCTCAATCTCTGCGAAACGCAAGTGTTGGGAAGAGCCGAAATTGATTAAATAGTTTTTAATTAATTAATTGTATTAATATTTTTAAACACAAATTGATTATATTTTTTATGTTAAGGAAGATCCAAAATTAAAATAAAAAATCTAAACCAAAATTAATTAGTTTATATTAATATTTATTTATATAGTTTTCATTATAGCAAAAATTTAAACTAAAAGTGTTAGTCTAATTTTTATTTTTATAAAATTATTTCTAAAAATATATTATTTAATTTTAAAAATTAATTTATTGCAATTTTTAAATTTTTTTTTTAAAATTTGATCATATAAATTAAGTTATACAATCATCGGGACACCGCCGAATATACGTGGCAACATCCTATCATTTCACGTGGCAACATAATATCAGTACACGTGTCAAGCTAGTCCTTGTTGGCAGGTTCATCAGTTAGGAGAAAGAAATTGGAAAAACCAAAATAAATTTATTTTTTGTTTTTTTTTTTAATTAAGAAAAAAAATTAATTACTATAAAAGGCATACTTGTCATAACATCCACATACCTTCCTAGTGGAGAGGGTCCCTTCCCCTCTCTCTCTCTCTCTCGTTTGGCTAATCGCGGAATCAGAATCATTCTTTCGCATCTCTTCTGCCTGTTCAATATTTCTTTCACCATCTCTTCTGCCCCTTCAAGATTTCGTTAAATTCGGGGTAGATCTGTTAGTTATTTCATCATGAGTTCTGCGAAAGATCAGGAATCATCATCATCGGCTTCATTCCCATCATCTTCTTCTGCTGTAAGGTTTTTCTTTTTGGCCTCTGTTTTGATTGATCTTGTCTCTGTAGCAGATCTTGATGGTCGGCCTTATCTCCGTTAGAAGAAAATGGAATACATAGAGGAAAATTAGCAAATTCATTTACGTGTATTGACCGACTACTTTGATGACCAACAGGTCAAAAATGAAAAACAGAAGGTTGTGTTATTAGGTAGTTAGGTCTTTTATCTTCTTTTGCTTCTCCTTTCTGTAGTGATGGAGGATTAAGGCTGCATATTTAGGTTTTCCTTTCTTTGGGAGTTTTATTACGGCCAAGCTGGGTGTTACCGTTCATTTGTGCAATTTCTCTTTTGGTTATTTTTGTTCTTTTTTACTTGGAAATCCCTAATTTGTTTCTTTTAATTTTTAGAAAGAGAAGGAAAGTAAGACACTAATTGATGAAGTGGGGATGGGAGATTATGGTGGGGTTTGCGCTATCTGTTTAGATGAGATTTCCCTCAAGGAAACTGCCTTCGTGAAGGACTGCGAGCATGCCTACTGGTATGTCTTTATACGCGTCCTTCCTAGGCACTTTTTGGTGTTATTACTTCAGTAGTGTTTCCTTTACAATCTACGCTGTTTCTCGTTCACCCTATGTTGTATTTTTTATGTGCAAGGTTGCATCATTATATGTTTTTTGTTGCTGTTAACCGCTTTTCTGGTTGGTTTTCTATGTGGGAATTGTTTATTGTGGGTGTATTTCATTCTTTTAGAAGTTAACAGAATTTATCTATATTATGCCTCACGAAAGGCTTTGTTTATATATGTTTTCGACACTGCTGGTTCCTCTCCTTTTTGGTAAGAGAAAAAATTGCTAGTTTGTATTTTAACTGAATGAGGGGTTTCAGGAATTGGCTAGGGGAACCGACTTCTGATTGTGATGGTTTCTTTTCAGAATTCTTTGTTAATGATAGTTTCTGAGCTCTTCCATCCTGAAGTATTTCATTTAATCCATGGCATGTCAATGGTGAATCGTTGTATCTCTTGGCTTTATCTGGACCTATAATGATCATTATCTGCGTTCTTATATCTCCAGCTCCATACATTTATTATTTCACGATATTTTAAAGGTGCTATCCGTCTAAAGTTGTCTAGCATGCTGTGTTTCCCTCATCAATTGGGGTTAAATATCTTCTTTGTTGCAAGTATTTATGTTTGTTACATCAATTTCCACTTCGTGATGCAGATTAGGTCCTTGATTTGGGAGAGAAAACCTCTGGAAGTTTAGTGTAGCGAATATCAAACTGCTATTTGTTTTTTTTCTCTTGGTCTTTTTCCCCTCCAATATAGAATGCTATACCTTATTATCATTTTCCCTAAAATACGCTTGTTAGGATAATTCTATAACTTCTAATCTTCTGTTTCTCTCTATTTATAGGATGGTACTCAGAATGGTACTTTACATAGTTTTAAAGACTATTATGTTTTGTCTGATTAATCCTGTTATTACAAGCATATTAAATTTATTGATGTAACGGAGAGTTGCAAGAGGGTTATGTTTGAATAGAAAAATGGATTGAGTGGCGAATCATGTGAATGGGGAAAAAGATTTTGGCATTCTTTGACCCATCCGGAAATTGGAGGATTTATTTTTAGAAACTTAAATGCATCATAGTTTGGAATTCCTATGATCACAATTCATCTTTCTTCTTTGACCACCAAGTTGCTATGTCAACAGAATTCATGATTGTTACATTTATTATTTCACGATATTTTAAAGGTGCTATCCGTCTAAAGTTGTCTAGCATGCTGTGTTTCCCTCATCAATTGGGGTTAAATATCTTCTTTGTTGCAAGTATTTATGTTTGTTACATCAATTTCCACTTCGTGATGCAGAGTAGGTCCTTGATTTGGGAGAGAAAACCTCTGGAAGTTTAGTGTAGCGAATATCAAACTGCTATTTGTTTTTTTTCTCTTGGTCTTTTTCCCCTCCAATATAGAATGCTATACCTTATTATCATTTTCCCTAAAATACGCTTGTTAGGATAATTCTATAACTTCTATCTTTACGCGTTTTTTGGTAATTTGTGATTACTTGCATCTGTGATGAGGCCGGCACTGGACCTCAAAGTTGGGAAGTAAATTAGGATCCTGATTGCTATGGCATTATTGCCTTTTGAGTACTTGGTTTAACTTTCTACTGTCAGCAGGTTGCTGGAATTTAACGTAGAGGTACATTATGTTGTTTAGCTTGTGTCGTGAATGCTACTCTGTTTACTTGGGATTATTTGATGCCTTTGTTTTTCTAGCCTTGTTTGTTATTTAGTATGTTTACTTCAATGTTGTACAGTAAACATGAGTTGGCACTTTCATCCATTTCTAATATCAATAGTCTATAAACATGATAAAGTGAAATCCTTATATATGATTGATTACACAAAATTGACAGTAGTGTTCTTTATGCAGTGTGACTTGCATCCTTCAATGGGCCACATACAGTCAGAAACCAACATGCCCTCAGTGCAAACATCCATTTGAGTTTCTCAATGTCCATCGCTCACTTGATGGCCGGTAGGAATATCTTCTGTTTCTCTCTATTTATAGGATGGTACTCAGAATGGTACTTTACATAGTTTTAAAGACTATTATGTTTTGTCTGATTAATCCTGTTATTACAAGCATATTAAATTTATTGATGTAACGGAGAGTTGCAAGAGGGTTATGTTTGAATAGAAAAATGGATTGAGTGGCGAATCATGTGAATGGGGAAAAAGATTTTGGCATTCTTTGACCCATCCGGAAATTGGAGGATTTATTTTTAGAAACTTAAATGCATCATAGTTTGGAATTCCTATGATCACAATTCATCTTTCTTCTTTGACCACCAAGTTGCTATGTCAACAGAATTCATGATTTCATGTTTGAGGAGAGTGTGATCCTCCTCCTTAGAGCCTCATGGTTTAAACCTTTGGTGGTGGAGGATCAA